TAAATAAATGTAAAATTTTATCAATTAATTATTAAATTTTTATTTGATTGAATTAAAAAAAATTGAGTCTATTATGTGAAGTTAAATGGAAAGAGAATAAAAAGGAAAAAGGGGAAAAAAATCAATTTACATGTAACGGACTTAAAGGCCCATAGGCCATTGCATTTGGGCTCAAGAAAGTAGGCCACAGAATAAGTCAGACTTGGGCGACCCAGCAGACCTGAGGGCTGGGAAATAATTGGGCTGCTAAGACCCATAAAAGATATTCTGGCGGCTGTGGACGAAGAAGACGATCGGAAGCACGGATGCTCATGGTTTGCTATCTGTGGGAGCAGAACCAGTGTTTCAAAGGCGACATTGCAAGTTTCCCACTTCCTATCTGCATCGTCGTCGTCTTCATCTTCATGTCCTTAACCTTATCCTCTTGCAAATCAATGGCTTTCACTGCCACATTCAGCAGATACGCCACTGTCTCTCTCCACCGACGGAGGAGGATTGCTGGAGTTGTTGGGGTTGGTAAGGAAGATACAGAAGTGCGCGTTGATGCCGTTGAAGATTTATCGATGAATACCCAGCTGGAGCAAGCAGACCCACAAGACCTCGAATATGTACCCCAAATCCAAAGATTACGCCTTTGATGCTTACTTTTTATCATGCTTTCACTCTCTTGAATCTTTTGAGTTTAGACTATAAGGTTTTGTGTGCGTCTAGGTTTTGGAACCTCTTAGGAAGAACAGAGACATGCTCTTCAGCGAGGTACTGATTTATTCATGTTTATATAATAGAAACTAGCTATGTGCGTGCAATTAATTTTTTGCGTAGGTTGAATTGATAGTAATGATAGAGGACCCAAGAGAAGTAGAGCGAAGGAGATTGCTTGGCATTGAGGATCCTGATACCCCTACTAGGGAAGATCTTGTTGAAGCACTGGAACAAGTGAGTCCCTTAAAATACAGACAGATAAACACTCGTTTTATTGGTGGTCGATGCATGATTAATGGTGTGATTTGGTTAGGTGAATGAAGGAAAGGTGCCTGCAAATCGGCTTGCTTTGAGAATGCTAGCTGAGGAGATGATCAATTGGCCTAATTTAGGGGTATTTTTTAGTGCTCATTCTCAACATAAGTCACATTACTTTTTAAACAGATGATATTGGCTGTGGCCTTCGTTTTTATTCTATTATTGTCGGCGTTCATCTGTATGCTATTGTTTTTACTGCACTTATCAAAATCCACCATAATATGTTTCCCTTTAAAGTAATGGCGTTTCTGATTCAAGACTTTGGAAAACCGATGTGCTCATAATACAATCTTTCCTGCATTAGTTTCATCATCCGTACCAACTCTTAATTGTGCAGGCTATCACCAAACTGTATGACACAGTTTACTTTCCTTGCTAACCTTTAGAATCACAATGTGTTTCATAACTAGGTTGAAGTGCCAAAGAAAAAGCGTGCCACATCCCTATATGTGAAAGCTACAGACACTGGAATTGATCCTAAAGAGGCTGCTAAGAGGCTAAACATTGATTGGTATTCTGCAGCTGAAATTGAAGAAGCTGAAGTCAATGATGAAACAGAAGTTCCCCCTTCTGTGGTTTGTTCCATCCTTAGTAATTTAACTAGTATTTGTCACTCGTCATATGGTTTATGCATTGGACCTGTTCTGGATAGTTGAAATGTGGCTGCCTTTTGGCAGTGTACATGGTATCATTAACACACCATCAGTTTAAGTAGCTGCTCTTATAATGTCAAATTTTAAAAAATATGGAAGTCAAAAGTTACTACTAATTGCATAATAATTTGAAAAAATGCATTGATAGTTTTATCTGTTTATTGGATTTCTTCACAATAAAACTGTCGAGTCAAGTGCATTTCTTGAATAATTCAGAGTTTAAAATTTTGAACTTCAGGTTCAGCATTAGCTAAATAATAAGATCCTGACAAACAGAGCAAATTCTTTTGCAGGGTTATGAAGCACTATACTTGGTCACAGCTTTTCCTGTTATTATTGGTATATCCATAGTCTTAACTTTATTTTATAATTCTCTCCAATAGAGATTTTTCTTTCCGGCTGGATTTCAGTGTATAATCTTCACCTAAGAGTCAATTGCACGAGTTTGTAAATTAGTGTCATGAATGGAAGATTGTTACTCTGCCAAATATGTCTAATCTAAACTACTTAAAAATGTCATTTATGCTTACAATCTATTCTAATCCTATGTTCAGATTTTCTATCTGCAATCTGAATTATTAAATTATGCATCACCTTCAGAAGTGCTGCTGTGTATGAATTTTATAGTTTTTCAGATTCAAGCACTCGCCTTCTTTCACATGTTGAGGTTTTGCCACTGATTATTCTCATTAACATAAGAAGCAACTTTCAAAACTCAGTTCTGACATCTCATCAAAATTTTGTTATTATTTTATTAAAGGTCAATGCCAATATTTGTTATCAATTTGTTTATTTTGTTCTGCGGAGCAAACTGCAAAGAAAGGCAACATGCAAATCACTACTAAGGTGACGCAAACATGCCCATTACGTCCTCCTTTTATTAATACCTCTTCTTCCTTGCTTTTATTTGTTGTAATCCCTAGTTTCTTCCTTGCAGTTTGTGGTCAAGAAGGAGCAAGCGCATCACCAGATGAATTTGATATTTTTTTGGTTGGATAAAACATGTGCCATTGAATTTGAAAAGAGGGAACATGGGTGGTTCTCCTGATAGCGGTGATTGGGTGAAGGTAACATGAATGATGTTGAAAATGAATTCGATTGCAATGTGCTTTGCTTTTTCTTACTAGGTTCCAGCAAGCCAAAGGCCATGAGAGCGCAATAAAGGGAGAAACAATGATGGAAAATGCAATTTTCCTGGAAAAGTTTGAATCTGGATCCCCGCCATCATCGGCCATAAGACAATAACAAACAATCTGGATTCAACAGTGAGATTGGACCCATGAAGAATGACTCAAAAGATCTTTAGGGGCTTATGTAGGTGTTTTTGATAGAATAGGGGCTTGTGTTAGTTGCATGACAAAGGTGAAATTTTAATAGGAAAAAGTGTTGCGTAATTTAAGTGTACTGAAATTGCATAACACAACGAGAATTAAATTCTTTGATATTGAGGTTTTTTTTTTTAACATATTATAATTATTTACATATTAATTAAGAGAAGAAAGAAAGGATTTCGTGAAATTTGAACACGTAACTTATAAAAGATGAATGGTTATATCCCAAGGTTCAATATTACTAGGTGGTCGTTTAGATATTATTTTTATTTAATAATTTTTGTTTTATAATATGATATAATTTAAATTATAAAACAATATTTTCATTTTAATATCAGGGAAAAAAATTTTGAACATAGTTGGAGATATTAGGAAATTATTGATTATAAAAGGGGAAATGAAATGAAGTATCCCACATGGGTTCACGTGACTGGACCCCACCATCTCCTATGTGAACCATATATTGAATGAATTAATTAATTAATTCAAGCTGCAACCTTTAAATTGGAATTTGGAGCCCTACTGAGGCAGCAGAGCCTGTCAATTATCATAAAATCTACAAAGAAAAAAAGAGATACCATCCTTCTAAATCCAGGTGTACAGAATAACGTGCATTATTAAAATTAGATTTCAAACTTAATTTCGACAATTTCCCTGCAGCATATGTAATTTTATGCAATGAATCCAGTTGTTTGGACCATCCTCATCTTTATTCTATTCCCTAATTCCATCAAATGCCTCTGCAGAAATGCATGCACTCTGTTTTTTTTTTTTTTTTGGGGGGTGGGGGTAGGTCGATTTTTAGTTTAATACAAATCCTTATATTAAAAAAGCTCTATCTTTGGGCTAAAGAGAATAAAAGGGAGAAGGGATTCTTTCTTCTTCTCATTTTGGATAAGTAATTAAATTAAAAAAATAAAATAATTTTTTTTTATTCTTTTGATAATGAAATTGAGAACTTTTTTCTTCTTTTCCACTCTCCGTTCCTCTCAGTCAAAATGAACTGTAAATTAAAACAATTTGACATCCAAAATTTGGTTGGGAGAAGCTAGAATGATCATTTAAGTTATGTAAAAAAACAAAACAAAACAAAACAAAGAGCTAATGCCTAGTATAATGATCCAAGTTGGGGTAATAACTCTTTTCACTTAGATAAAAAACTTGCCTGATTCACTAATTCAACAACCAAAATTGAAGGTCAAAATTATAAATTTAATTATTTATATTGCTAAACTCCAAATATTAAAAGAAACTTTATTGAGATAAGATTATGATTGAGCTACTTTTGTCTTCATAAGATTATGATTGAGCTAGCTTTGTCTTTACTCTTTAGTTTCTACGGTTCCAGAAAGGAACATTCACCGTTCCCCACCTGAATTGTCTGCCAGAATACAAACCACTACAGACCCAACAGACGAAAAGTGCAATTTTTTTTTGCCAATCCATCTATTACTGTTACAAAAGCAACCCATAAAAGCAGAAGCACATTGCCTACCTCCACCATCACCCTGTGTGAGAATTGTTTATACTGTTAACCATAAGTTTAAAGTTTCGATTGTTAATCTCCATGTCAGGTAAAAAAATACATTGCACACCTCCTAACTGGACCCCCCCACGGCCACCCGACGCCATGCCGACAGCTAATCACCTCTATTATTTATTCTAAACGGTATCATATTGTCCAAAAAATTGAAAGAATGGAGCACTTCTTATTTTAAAACAAAAATGAAATTCTTCACATCAGTTTCCTATCTACATGTGAGAAACTATATCATACACCAGAAAAAACCCTCAATAAATTTAATCTGCTGTGGCTAACTACAAACTATCACTGCCAGGTTTTTTCTAACCTGGGTCCTATCATTTCCAGCTCAAATTTCTTCACAGACCAAGCAATATCCCTCAAGGTGGTGTCCAAAACGTAAGGGGTTTTCTCATAGTTGAACTCTGTGGAATTGATTAGGAATCGGCATGGCTCACGCCTTTGTGCAATGGTTCCATGGTAATGGAAGTACTTGATCCTGCCTTCTGTCTTGTGAGTCGTCTTCCCTGCTATGTTCTGGGACATGTGCACGCCAGTAGCATATGCATTGCGGGGTTGAAGTGCGTATTTGCGGTCCCTTCTTATTCCTTTCTTCACATCCCTATATACAAGCTTCTCAAATCCCCATTTCCTGCAACGAAAAACACAAAATGCACCATGAATCAGGATGTGCTTATGCAGCATTTGCCCACAACCTAATGTCAAACCAGTTGAAGAGTTGAAGTCTTGCAATTTAATGGACATTACAACAACAACAGATTAAAAAAAAAAAAAATTACAGAAACCAATTTTAAACCACATTGATGAGCACAATTAAGTGCCAGGAAACTTCATATTCAAGCAATATAAGCATCAACATAATTAAAACCTGAGGGATCCATGGCTGTTGTGCCTAATTTATTCTAAAGTTGATTTGACCATGCTGACTAGATTTTCATCATCACAATTAGCATTAATTCGATCACATGGTATCTTAAACAAGACAAGAACATCCGCCATTGAAGGACTTAAAAGTAAAGAGACTTTTGAAGCAACTTGGGTGAAAAAGGGATTAAATTAATAATAGGGTCTTGATCATGCAAATGAAACAAAACACTTTAGAACAAAGCCAAGACCCACCCCATTTCCACCTGGCTCTAATTCAATGAGAGCAAAGAAAGAAGAATCATTACCGAAAAAGCAAGAATAACTCTGATCATGCACAAACCACCAGACCTTGGTCATAAAATTTCAACATCAATGTACCAATCACCCAACCACCACAGGTTTGCTATGTCATTGTGCATCTTAAATGCATATAAATACCATTTATTGCCTCCAGAAAGTTATGAATTTCCATAAATTTCAACCATTGGTGCCTACTAACCTTACTAAAAATCCTTCACTTAAGAGTCAAATTCATGTATAATAAAATCAAGACTATACAAAATTTAGCATTTTTCAATAATAAAATCAAGATTAAGGGAAATAAGAAAAAACCTCTGGCGTTTGGCAGCATCTTGAGTGAGGCAGTGCTTACTGCTCATGGGCATCTGCTCGATTGTAAATTGACTATAATCTGAAAGGGAATCGAGCACAGACTTAATAGTGCTCTTGGGCGGCATGTAAATGTATTCATCCACATCAAAGAAGAACATCCACTTCGCCATAAATTTGTATCTGTGCAGGCAATCGTTCACCACCATGAACTGATTGTGGTAGTACCCATCAAACCTCTCCTGATCCCTTACGTCCTGCAGCGTCACGTACCCCAGCTCCATCCACGGCTTCAGCACCTTCAACACCTCCTCGTGAACCCCTCCGGCGTCGTAAATGATAAAATGGGATCTCTTTCCGAACAATCTCACATGGTATGCTATCCACTCCCTCACCCTTTGGGGGCTCAAGTTCCCGTACAGCGGAGACCCGCAATACAGGTAGTCGTATTTGGGTTCCGCCGCGAACATTGAAATATTCAAGCTTCCGGGTGGTTCCGTCAATGCCGGAATTGTGTCCGTAACGTTGAATTTAGCGTCCCCACCTCCGGAGGTGGAGGCTTGCAGGAGAAGCGTGCCGCCGGAATTGTCGGTGTTGATTGGCTGAGAGAATGTGCAATTAACGACCACAACGGTGTACACGCGGCCGTAGCCCCAGTCTGGGAGGATCTTGTAAGCGACGGTGGTGGTGTTTGCTTGGCTGTTGTTTTGTGGGATCCACTGGCATTGATAGGTCGGGCGGGAGAACACCTGGAGGGCCTTGGAAGCGAGACCCACAATGACGAAGTTATTTGGGCCGCCTCGATAGGTGCCCATGGTAATGAAGTTGTAGGCCACCGCACCATAGGGGTTGAAGGCCCGCCGTAAAGCACCGTTAGGCAGCCGCTGATCACTTTCAACAGACGGCGGTGATGGCTCCGGTTGTTGGGCATCAACGACCACCTCCTCTTGTCTAGTGACATTTGGCTCAGCGACGATGGACACCCGAGAGATGCAGAAGCGGAGATCAGAGGCGGAGAAGGATAAACGGGAAGGTATAAACTGGAGGATGGTAGCAACGGTGCAGAGGAGGAGGAGAGCAGTTAACAAAAGCTTGAGCTCCGCCACCCAGTTCCAGACTACACGGACTACCATCTTGCTGTTCTTCTCTTGTGATCTGTCTTTCGCCATCGTTAATTTACTAGTAAATGTTGCAGGAAGAAAATAATGATGTTGGGGAGGAAGAGAGGAGGAGAAGAAGATGATGAAACGATTTGTGTCGAAATCTCTTCCTCTTCCCCTCTCTCTCTCTCTCTCAGGCAGTCTCTTTGTATTATTATTAGGCTCTGTTTCTTTTGCGTATTTGTGAGGGGCAGGACATTTTGTAATCCAGATTTCTTTTCTTTTTTGGGTTTGGCAATACCTTTTGCTTAGGCCAAAAATAGTCTCTTTTCTTTTAAAATAAAAAGAGTAAAGAAAAAAAAATA